GATCTCACTGGCCTCCGGGAATTGCTGACGCCAAGCGTCCATCAGGCGGTCAAAGCAGCGCTGGGTGGGGTGGGTACCCCCGCACTGCTCACCCGCACGGTCTCCGGTGCGAAGGACGTAGGTGCACGGACCAAAACCCTCACCACGCTGACGCTGCGTGTACCACTCACGGAGCTGCTGAGGGGGGGGGATGTCCCGAGAACGCTGCTGCTACTGCTGCTGCTGCTGCTGGTGGCGCTGACCACCACCAGGGCTGCTTCGCTGGGAAGCGCCACCCCGACCACCTCCACCTCCTCCACCACCGCCTCCTCCACCTCCGCCACCACCGCCGCCTCCGCTAGTACCGCCGCCGCCTCCGCCGCCTCCACTGCTGCCACCGACACCTCCACCCCCACCACCACTCCCATTGCCACCCCCACTCCCTCCGCCACCTCCACCGCCACCTCCACCGCCCCCGCTAGCTCCACCCGCGCCCTTGCCCCCCTTGCCCTTGCTAGAGCGGCGTCTCCCGCTAAGGGCAGACGCCGCACCGACCGACTCAAGACCAATGAGGTCGGCCGCAGAGGCAGAGGCGACAGAGGGCGAAAGGGGGGAAGGAGAACACCCCTCAAAGATGGGGGTGCGAGGGTCACCACGAGAGGCTCCTACAACAACTATGCTCTTCTCCGCTGCTAGGAGGGCCTTCTCTAGGAGGTCAACAGTGAGAGTGGTGGGACAGACTGAGAGGAAGTGGTCCCTGACTACACGAAGGGAGTCAGGGAGGCGGGTGACTATATAATAGAGAGTGATGTACATGGGGGGGGGGGGGGTTCTTGGCGCAGAACTCAGCAGGAAGCGCGGCACGGTAGCGAGTGTCACTAGTGCGGAGGTGCGTAATGAGGTCACCGACTGTGGGAAAGGCAGCAAGGTTAGGGAAGAGGTACGGTAGCATGAGGTGGCTAAGTGCAGCAGTGGCAGGGGAAGAGTAGCGCGCAACTACAGCGTCGTACAAGGTCTGAGCACTCTTGTACTGACTAAAGTGCGCGTGCTCAGTGGTAGGCAGGTGGCGACGCACAGCAAGACGTGCAGCAGTATCGCGCATGGCCCACTGAGAGCGAACCATGGGTTCAGCATCAGCAGCAGGGGCAGGAGAGGCGCCAGCGGTGAGGTCAAAGAGAGAGAGACCGTCTGCCCTATCGCACTGTAAGAACAGCTGCAGGTCGTCGACCCAGACCTCAAAGTCAATGGCTCGACCCTCAGCGTCAAAAGCGAGGACACTAGGGGTAGCCATGACAACTGTAGACTAGCAGTACCAACTGTAGGACAGGGGCAGTGCAGTGAGAGAAGCGCTGCTCTCACCAAAGAGGGTGGTTTGGGCAGCTCACCAGCACAGCAACACGGCAACACGGCTCCTCGGACGGCTCAGCAGCAACTGCGGCTCCGCAGCACCAGTGGCTCGGCTTCTCAGGCGAATCGGGCGGCTCGGGCGGGTCGGGTGGCTTGGGCGGCTCGGTTCCTCAGCGGCTCAGGCGGCTCGGGCGGCTCGGGCGGCTCAGGCGGCTCGGGCGGCTCGGGCGGCTTGGCTCCTCAGCGGCTCAGGCGGCTTGGGCGACTCGGGCGGGTCGGGCGGCTTGGGCGGCTCGGGCGGCGCGGGCGGTGAAAGGCGGTGGGGCCGCTGGTAGGGCGGCGGGGCCGCAAGGTAGGTGATGGGGCCGCAGTGGGAGGGGCAGCGGGGCCGGAGTGAAGGGCGGCGGGGCCGCCCTGAAGGGCAGCAGGGCTGTTGAGACGGGCGGCGGGGCCGCAGTGAGAGAGGCGATGGGGCCGCAGAGAAGGGCGGCGGGGCCGCTGAGAAGGGCGGCGGGGCCGCAGCGAGAGAGGCGGCGGGGCCGCAGCGAAGGGCACCGGGGCCGCTGAGAAGGGCGGCGGGGCCGCAGTGAGAGAGGCGGCGGGGCCGCAGCAAAGGGCGGCGGGGCCGCTGAGACGGGCGGCGGGGACGCAGTGAAGGGCGGCGGGGCCGCAGTGTGAGGCGGCGAGGCCGCAGGGAAGGGCGGCGGGGCCGCAATGTGAGGCGGCGAGGCCGCAGCGAAGGGCGGCGGGGCCGCTGAGAAGGGCGGCGTGGCCTCAGCGAGAGAGGCGGCGGGGCCGCAGCAAAGGGCAGCGGGGCCGCTGAGACGGGCGGCGGGGCCGCAGTGAAGGGGGGCGGGGCCGCTGAGAAGGGCGGCGGGGCCGCAGCAAGAGAGGCGGCGGGGCCGCAGCAAAGGGCGGCGGGGCCGCTGAGACGGGCGGCGGGGCCGCAGCGAGAGAGGCGGCGGGGCCGCAGCAAAGGGCGGCCGAGCCGCAGCGAATGAAAGTGATACAAATATGCAACCCTAGAAATGTGTACCCCATATGGGCTACCCCACTATAGCCTGCACAATATTATAATTTGACACCTTGAGCAGGAGACTCACTAGCACCCAGAGCAGCAGCCTCACCAGCAGCTAAAGTAGCAGGCTCTATACCGGGGTCAGGCGGTACGCACAGGTGACTGGCACGGTCACCACTTGTAGGCAATGCATACATGGCAGTGAGAATAGCATCATAGTCAAGAGCAAATATATCTACCCTCTGCCTAAGCAACTCCACCCAGTCGGGGAGCTCAGCCTCGTCGCCAAACTCGGTACGCTAGGCATCGCTCACACGGGCGAAGCAGCGGGACTGTGTGTGACTATGTGTCCCACAAGGCTGACCAGTCCGAGCACCAGTGCGAATCACGTAAGAGCAGCGAACAGAATTGAGAGACCCTCTACTCTGAGCGTACCACTCATGAAGGTGCTGGGGCATGAGAGACGCGCGTGGGCGTCGCTTGAGCTGCATCTGTCCGCCGCCAGTAGTAGTAGCAGCAGTAGTGGTAGCAGTAGCAGCGCGGCAACCCCTACAACCCCAACCAGCGTACCACTCACGCAGCTGGTGGGGCGTGAGGGACTCACGCGAACGTCGCTGGGGCTGCATCTCGCTCCGCCAGTAGAAGTAAGAGCAGGAGTAGCAGCAATAAGGCAGGGAGCCAGGCAGGCCAAAAGGCAGGCAGGCAGGCAAGCAGGCGGCGGGCAGCGCGCTAGCAGGGCTGGGGCTCACCAGTGGTGGGAAGAGCAGGCTCGGCGATTCGGCGACTCGGCGGTGCGGGCGGCTCGGCAGCAACTGCGGCTCGGGCGCTTGGGCGACTCGGGCGGTTTGGCGGCAACTGCGGCTTGGCGACTCGACGGCTCGGGCGGCTCGGGCGACTCGGCGGTACGGCGGCTCGGCAGCAACTGCAGCTCGGCGGCTCGGCGACCCGGCGGCTCGAGCGGCTCAGGTGGCGCTGCGGCTCGGGCGGCTCGGTTGGCTCGGGCGGCTTGGTAGCAGGTTGGCGGCGCCGTCGGCTCAGCGGTGATGGCAAGGCCGCTTGGGGACGGCGGCGGGGCCGGGTGGAGCGGCAACAGGGCCAGCAAAGGTGGCGCCAGGGCCGCAGGGTAGGTGACGGGGCCAGCATAGGCGGCGCCGGGGCCGGGAAGGGCGGTGCCAGGGCCGCAGAGGTAGGCGACGGGGCCAGTAGAGGCGGCGCCGGGGCCGGTAAGGGCGGCGTCGGGGCCAGCAGAGATGGCGCCGGGGCCGGGAAGGGCAGGGCCGGGGCCGCAGGGGTAGGCGACGGGGCCAGCAGAGGCGGGGCCGGGTCAGGAAGGGCAGCGTCCGGGTCGCCGGGGTAGGCGACGGGGCCAGCCGAGGTGGCGCCGGGGCTAGGAAGGGCAGAGCCGGGGCCGCAGGGGCAAGCGACGGGGCCAGCAGAGGCGGGGCCGGGTCGGGAAGGGCGGCGTCGGGGTCGCCGGGGTAGGCGACGAGGCCAGCCGAGGTGGCGCCGGGGCCAGGAAGGGTAGAGCCGGGGCCGCAGGGGCAGGCGACGGGGCCAGCAGAGGAGGGGCCGGGTCGGGAAGGGCGGCGCGACGCGGCCGCTAGGGCGACGCGACGAGATGGGACCGCGACGGGGCAGCGAGGGGTGGCACGCCTAGAAGGAACGGGGCCGCGTGCCTAGGGGCGCGCGCTAGAGGGAAGGAACGGCGCGCGGCGAGATAAAAAATAGGTCCCACGTCACGGGACGTGCAGCAGATCGAGTAGCAGCGGAAGCAGTAGTAGGGCCCACAGGCCAGGAGCATATGTGCTCTGAAGCCATGGGAGAATGAACGTGAATGAATGCACTATGAAAGAGTTGGGTACAAGTAATAACCCTTATTGGGTTGTACCCCATATAGGCTACCCCACTATAGCCTACACAAAAGCATAAGCTATAATGTTCTGACACTCGCAATCAAACGGTCTCGTCAACAGGTGACGGCCACATGAAATGTCACAGTAAGAGCATCTCAATGACTGTGAACATCAGCCCAGCCACGGTATAAGTCTCCAAAGAGAATTGTAGCATCACATAGTTTTCAGCAGGCCTAGTTTTTGGGAGGAATGGTAGCTTACGTTTTACTGTGATGGAGACCGATCTGTCGACGACAGCGCCTTCCCGGCAGGCGGACCTAGGATTGATTCCTGTCAACATAGGGTACACCTCGACACCACCCCCTTCGACGACTGCAGCCAGGCCGACGTCCACAGCGCCTCCTTCGACGAGCCGAGTTATACCGCTCGTGACAGGGACCACCTCGACGTCGAGACCCATACCGGTAGTGCAACATCCGGTTGTTACGGACCAGCGTTCGACGGGCATTGCGGTCACTGTCGAAGTGGGTGGTGCACAGACCGAATTCCCTTCGACAGGTCAATCCATCCCGGTTGTGGTAGAACCCATCTTGACAACACCTCCATCCATTGCACGCGAGGCTCCAACTCACCGTGCACCATCGTCGACAGCCAATCGCTCGACAGAACCTTCGGCTGGTGCACCGACCTCGACAGGTGGGCGACGTGGGAGAGCGAGGGTTGTTCCGCCTGAGGTTCGACAACCACCCCCAGCCGGCACATCCGCAGCTCGAGCTAAGCCAGCCGCTCCTAGGCGGACTTCGATGAGACCAAGCAGAGAGGACTTAGCCAGGAACGTCCCTGAAGCGACGGACGATGAGGATGTTCGGACGGGAGAACAGCAGCAGGCGGATGATGTCGAACCGCCGGACCCTCTGCGGCCTGCCGCCGCAAATATATCAGAGGAGGATGCCGCGCACATTCTCGGCGACCAACAGGGCGCACCCAATCCGTACTTGGTGACGGGAACAATAGAGAGCAGGATTCTCCGTTGCGAGGTTCTGCTGCTGGGAGTTGACCAGGATTCCACACGGCCGAACTATGTCTATGGGAGCATGCACTACAAAGCTTGGGCCTGTTTAACTCTGGCGCCCGGAAAAAACAACGGAGTGCCTGAAGAGGAGCAGGTGATCCACCAGGACGAGATCGGTAGGGAGATCGGCGACGATATGGGGCCGAGATGGAGGGAGGTGCTCCGTAACGAGGAGCACATGCACGGGCCAAAAATTACGAAATGGCGCTTGCGCGCTTACGTCGAATACATGTCGACAGAAACCGACAAACAGGCGGCATCCTTGGATACAGGCTGGACCAGAGTCGCAGGAAAGAAGCCGAAAAAATGCACCCCTCCGATGATGCTGGCGCGCCTTACTGCGCTAATGTGCTTCTGCAAAGTACAGGCCATACTCTTTGACGAGCCACTAACGAAACCCTTGGACGACATCACCGAGGCTCGGCACCCTCTTGCGGTCAAGCTGCGACAGCTGCACGACTATCAGTTCGAGTAAGTAGGCTGCCATACACCGGTGACTAAAACTTCTCACTCTTGTTCTCACCCATTAATCGCTCTATCTGCCCACACAATGCAGGCAGTGCGTCGATCCACACCGGGGCTCCCTGGACGATGTTTACACGGAGGAGCAGTTCCGCATTCTCGTTTCAGACATCCTGCCGTCCTGGGCCATAGAGTACTTTCGGGAGTCGATGAGTTTCCCCAGCCAGTCGCTGTGGAGGGCCTTGGCCGTGAGGGTGATGATCCTGATGGCGCATCACATGCTGGGCAGGGGGATAAGCATCCGCGAGATCCGCTACTGCAATATGTTCACTCACGTCCTTCCGCCCAGCACGAACAGCAAGGGGGAATCGCCGATCCACGTCCTCGTGGTCGCCTATCGCAACTCGAAGACCATCAAAGACAACAAGCTCGGCCATCTGTACCTGACTCGACACATGGACTTCCGGCAGTGCGGCTTCGGAGCAGTATCCATATGGATACATTTCCTTTTCAACCTTGTGCCACTCCAATACGGGAACGATAAGATCGTGCCCCCCTTGGATTTCAGCAACCCGGAAAACTGGTCGAAGAAGCACATGTTCCTCGCCCTCTTCGACAAGGACAAGACCGAGTTGCCGTACGCAACTCATGCGAAATGGGTGCTCTGGGCGATGAATAGTGCGGAGTGGATCCTGTCGAAAGTCACGCACATCTTTTGACGGTCTGTGGCACTGATCCTCGCCGACAAAAACTGTGAACTCGACAACATCGCGCAGCTGGGTCAATGGGACATGAACGAGATGCGCATGTCATACGTCACAGGCATCCCGCGCGGGGCCATCCAGCTGCAAGCGGGGTTCACGACGGAACCGGGTGACTATTACATCGGAAGATCGAAAAGCGAAGTACCCGAGAAGGTCGTGAAGGCCATCGAGAAGCACATCTTTCCGAAGGCGGAGCAGTGGCTCCAAGAGGTATGGATGCGTCGAGCGCCTAGCGTGATCATCGCCCGCAAGTTACGCACGTCTATCTCTCAATGACACCCTGTTTGTTTCTTGTTCAGACGATGGAATGGAACAACGAGTAGGACAAAGAGCATATGTTCTTCGCAGCGAAAAGTTTCTTGAAGGCCCTGCAAGCCGCCCGAATGCCCATCGCAGAGGATCTTGCGATGTACTATGTCCATTGTGACGACCATCCCTTCGACGGACTGACTGTTTGTGACTGCGAGCGTCATCCGTACGCACAGATGTCGGATTTGTGCAAGGACATAGACTTCCAAGAATGGGCGCTTGACGTGTACCTGCTCGACAACTACGTCATCGAGATGCGGACCAACCCGACCATGTCGAGAGCATCGGTAAGATGGCCCTTCTACATCTTGATCCGAAGTGTTTGCATCAGCCCATTCATCGCTCGCCGTCTTGTGTGCAGGACGCATCCTTTCAACTCAACACCAAGCACGTCATCACGCAACTTCCGGCGGAGGTTAACTTACACAAGGAGGCAGGAGGGAAGAAAGAAATCAAGATCAAACACCTCGAGCACAAGGTCGATTCATTGGAGCGGGAGAAGGGCGCGATGCAAGCGGCGTTGGAGGCGAAGGACGAGGCACTCGCGCGACTGTAGAAAGCGTTCGACGCACTTAAGATTACCGCGTCGACAAGCGCGGCTGCGAACGTGGGGGATAGCGAGAGCGTGCCGCAGACGGCGACCGAAGAAACCACCCCGCCAACACAGCAAGACCCACAAACAACACACACTCGACAGAGCGTGGGCAGCCAGCTCGACCAAGCATTGTTCGACGCTGTGGTGTGGCCGTGGTGCAATTGCGAGACCGTGCGGCAGGCGTGGTCCTACTAGGACGGGCCAAGCCCGCTGAACAACGGACAGTCTTCAACACGCTTACAGGAGGGGCTTCGCCGTCAAGTTCAGCAAGTTCACTCCGACTCCTCCCCCCGTTCCCCCTGAAGAGGAGGCCAGGCCAAAAGAAAAGCCTCCGTCCCAAAAAGCTCTCGAGTCGAAATTGCGGAAAATGGAGGTTGTCATGAGGGCCGTCGAGACGTTCAGGATCGACGACAGCAGCGCGGCTACGTCGACGATCATCAAGAAGCTTGACTCGATTGTCACGAAGCACTCGATCAACATGCTGGCGGAAGGGCTCGTTCTCAAGGAGGATTCGGGGAAGCAGCTCACGAAGAAGCGGAAAGTCCAGACAGCAGACGAAAACCGCAAGGACAAAGATCGCCTCAGGATCACGCGGGAGCTAATTCGCTTCGAACTCCGAACCACGGAATGGGCCGAGAACATGTTCAAGGACAAATGGACGGAGTTTATGAAGGCAACGGGCGACGGCCCTACTTCGACAAGCAACCGTGACGAGGGGGGAAACTAGAGGGGAAACTAGAGTAGGATTTTCTTTCAGAATTTGCATGGCATGTTGAGCATTATCGCATAGTTGAACTACTTAACCTTATCGAATACAAAAAGTCAAAAATTATGCAGCGGGTACAGACTGTCTATCAACTCTAGAAACAACAAACACAACTGTCGAGAGATACAAACACCCCCTCGCAAAGTGCCCACCTAGCCTACTCCCCTTGCCCGCCCGTTTCCATCTCCGTAGCATCCTCGTCGCCCAGCTTCGCCTTGCTCTTTTCTTCTGGCATTGCTAGGCTGCCATAGCCCGCGTCCTCCAGCAAGCGAGCAGCCGCTCGACAGTAGCACCATTGCGTGCAGACCTGTGCGGCCACGCGCACCATATGCAACAGGACAGGGTCCGTCAAGCCGAGACCTTCGACAGCCGACGAATACAGCTGATTGGACCACTGCTTCGCCGGGAACGTCTTGCCAACGTGCAAAAGTATGGACACGAGCGCGGCCATGGCAGCCACACAAGCCTTGGTCGCAGTCTTCAGGGCGAAGAGAGCAGCGTTTGCGGCAGCTAGGGCATCCTTCTTAATATCCTCCCTCGACAACTTCCTGCACGCCGCCCACAAGCTCGCCAGAGTTGCAGCGATGGCCATCATGTGTGGTGTCGCCGCCGTGCCATTAGGAACCGGATAAATCAGGTTCTCGTGCTTCATGCCAAGCGTCGCGACCTTACCAATCGCCGCACACAGCGCAATTCCCGAGCCGGTTCCAGCTCGAACTTCCTTATTTGCCAACAGCAACTGGAAACTGCACATCGCAACAAACGCGTAAGCCAGGAGGCCAGAATCCGACCGATAGAAAACTCACAACCAAACAGCATGTGTTCGACAAAACACACCAACAACAGAACTTCGACACAAATGTCAAACAGCAAGAATTCGACAGAACTCACACGTCGAAACGACATTGCCCTTGTTCTTGCGCCACGCTCCAAACGCCGGTTGGCATTTTAGCAGCCGCATCGAGATAGACCTTCCACTCCTGCTCATCCAGCGCCGTAAACGCCTCGTACTCGGTAAGGACAATGTCGGGGAAGTACACGCGCCAGCAGATGGCCGTACAGAACTTTTGGTCCTTCTCCGTTTCAAAGTGTCCCAAGAACCGCTTCTTCCCGCCGACGGTCTGCTCGGAAACCGGCTTCCCCTTCTGCAACCCGAAACCCTGTCCTTTGAAGGGAGCTTTGCAGCCCCTCGTCTTGCCTTGGTCGTCCGGGGGAGGAGGTGGGGTGTAACCCATCACCTTGGCCTTCTTCGACTTTTCCTGTCGAGCAGCAACGACACTAGTGGTCTTCCCGACATGCGCCTGACCAGGGACGCTGGCCATCTCCACGACCCCAAGGCTCTCTGTCGCATGTGCAGAGCGCTTTGACGACTTCGTCGCAGTAGGCTTCTTCTTCGACGTTGAAGGGGAGCCCGGATCGTTAAGGCAAACGTTGCCTAGGGCCGGAGCAGCGGCGACAGGAGCAACTTGAGGGGTTGAGGACGACGCCCAATTTCCCACATGCTAGGAAAAGCATACGGTATACGCTAGTTGATGCGTGAGGGGATATTCAGAGGCACGATATGCAGGCTGGACTGGAAGAAAAAGCTGAGAAATTTGTATGACCAATGAGCTACGCAACTAGCGTGTTGTGTGAATACGAAAGAGAGACGCTTCTAGAGCTCCGAAGTGTGATGATGTGTCTTCACGGATGCCGTAGATTTCTGGTACTAGCATACATCGCACCAGTAATTGGTTAGTTAAAAATCAGGTAGGTTCGGATAGCTCAATTCCGGTTACCTAAGGTGTGATCCGGGAAGCCACGTCACCTGAACAGAATCTGAACACTTACATTGATTGGGTGTGACATGGAACTGTATGCCAGCTGCCAGTTCCGATTCTGGGTTGTGCCTTCGCGAGCCTCATCGGAGGTCGTATCCCAGTTACTGTGCTCGCCACGTTCGACAATGTCTGCCTGATTCGTGCTGTAGTGTTCATCGATCATACACCAGCAAAGGGGACTCCCGAGATTTGGTCAGACGAAGGTGTACTGTTTGGTGAAGATGTTTTAAGTTTGATGTGTGAAATTCGCGGCTCGGTAAACCCACGTATACAAGAATTTGCGCCCCGGCTGACCCACGTAGCTCATGTTTGCGGCTCGGAAGCCAGCTTGTATCCGAAATTGGTGCATGTTGCGGTTTCACTCAGTGCTTTTCGGATACTTTTCAGGTAGGTTTCTGCAACTTTCCTACAGCTTTCAGACTTTAACTCGATTTTGAGCCAAACCCTTTTCCGCGATGAAATGCAATCTGTGAGGAGTGTATAGGGGGGAGGATCAGGTGGCGATGAAGATGCGGGTGGGAAGGACCCTTCGGATGTGCCTCCTGTTGCATCCGCCGCTATGGGTGCGCAGCCGTCCGCCACCCAGGTGGAGAGCATGAGCAGCAGTTACGACGAGGAGATTTTGGAATGCATGCACAGATTGAAGATGACGGCACAGTGGCTTCGTTACGAAAGCGAGGGTGAGCCAAAGATGGCAGAGCGACGACGAAGAAACAGTCGCGGCAGGAGAGCAGGGATGCAGAAAGGATCCGAGAAGCTTCTGGTGCTGTCGCTATTACGTGGACGTGAGAGGCGCGTGGGACCGGCAAGTGTGCGAGTGCTGCTTTGACCGCGTAGTGAGCTACCGAGCACAGCGCGTACTTGGCATTGTCCGCCTGGCAACTTTCCGTTGCAACCTTGAGAACCAGCTGCCTGACTCCATCCCTTTGCTCCCCAGGGTCGGCCGCCCAGCGCCATTGTTGAGTACTCTGCAGGGGTACCCATGAGGGCTTTTGAGACTCCGGGAGGTTTGCCTCCTCAGCAGTTGTTCGGCGTCAAGTGTGCCGTGGCACCGAATCGCTGTGCCGAGGCAATGATTCTCGAGTGGATGGCTGAGCCTCGTGTGGGCGTGCTCATGGACCTGGGGAGGATCAGATCCCGTCTGCCTGCCATTCTGGCGGCTACAGGTGCCACTTCTTCAAATAGCAGCAGGGCAGCTACAGCTGCACCTGCTCCTAGAACAGCTGCTGCCCCTGCTGCTGCTGCTAGTGGAACGTGGGGGACTCACTGGTCTGCCTACCGCCGTGCTGTCAGCTTTGCCGCATTCCTTACGCTTGTCGCGAAGTGGCCGCGAGTTGTGAATCTAAAGAGGTTGTCTCTATGTCCAGGCTCCTTAGTTTATCCTGTTATCATGGCCCAGCTGGGGGCTGGCAGGCAGGTGGAGAATGACTGCGTAGCTTCCATGCTGGTGCAGGTGCTGGGGGTGAAGGAGAGCGCTGATCTGCAGGAAGGGTTTGGTGCTCTCATGCAGAATCTGCTGTCAGGCGGGCTGGAAAAAGCGCATGCAGCTGAAAAGGGGAGTGAGGGAGCTGGGGGAATGGGTGCTGAGAAGACACATGAGGAGGAAGGGGGAATAAGGGGGGAGACTGCTGAGAAGGCGCAGGGGGAGGAGGGATGGGCGGATGGCGAGGTGATGGATAAGGGCGGGGGCATGGAAAAGGAGGAGGAGCAGGGGGTTGATGATGCTGGTGATGTGAGGGACGGAAGAGAACCAAATTGTAGCAGCAAGGCGAGCGGAGGGGAAGACAAACGTAGTAGCAGGGCGGCTAATGGAGCTACTGAAAAAGGGTGGCAAAGGGGGGAAGAATGGGCAATGGAGGGAGCATTTGAAGGGGCGTGTGTGGGAGAGGTATGTGGATGGCATGGCTTGGATTCTAGAGCATGGTGGTGGGGAAGGGTCGGAGTTCCGGTGCAGCCACTGCAGTGAGGGGGGCAGCAGCAATAGTGGTGACGTGCAGGTGAATGGTATTCCCAAGGGCATGTATGTGAGTGGGGTTAGCGCCACGGATATTGCTCTTGCTTTTGCCAAAGAGTTGTCTAAGGCAGAGCGCTGTGTAGACGCCTGTATGTACACATTGGATGGAAACAATACGAATAAGGTGAGGGTGGAAGAGGCAGCAATTGAGGAGGCTAGAAGCAGGCTGAAAAGAGGGGTAGGTGGAAAGGGCAGAATATGGGGTTCAGGAGCAATAGGAGGAAAATGGACAGCAGCAAACACGAATGGGGCAGCAGCAAGCAGGAGTGGGGCAGGAGCAAAGATGAGTTGGGAAGCAGCAGATGCGAGCAGGGCAGCAGCAGCCGCGAGCTGGGCAGCAGAAGCATCAGCAACTGGTAAGGCATTTGCTTCCAGTGCTTCTGCTTCAGCTGGCAACCGGCCTTGTGCACGAGTAGATGGCACCTGCGCTAGGTACAATCCTGGGCTAGTGCCTGTAAACACAAATCTCATCTTCGCAGCCTTCACATATCGAGTTGCCCGCATCTTACGGTGGGTTCGATTCTATGGCCTAGATGTCGTATTTGTGGAACGATGCTCCAGAAGTAGGCCACCGAAAGGGATCTTGCGAATGCCCCATCCCTTTCGAGTGCTCCCGAGCCTGCTGCTGAGGCTCGGTGCCATCCCGAAGCCTCTAACTGCTGAAAGTCTTCCTATAGAGTGGGAGGAATGGCCACATGGTGATGAAGCTGCTTCGAAGCTTCCTTATGATCTCGATGCGAGATTCTACCTGCTGGGTGTTGTGGAGGAGAGTGCAACGGGGGTGGAGAGTGAGCAGAGGAGGGTAACAGAAGAAGCATCAAAGGCTGGGAGGAGGCACAAGAGGGGGAAGGTGCGAGGAGCCAAGGCACCAGGCCAAGCAAGTGACGGCAGTGGCAGCGTTGCAAACAGAGGGCACGGTGAAGAGCAAAGGGCCAGTTCACATGCATGCGGCATGGCTGTTGCAAGGCCGCCTTTTAGAAGGAAGCTGCCCATCGTGTGCTGCGTGGCAGATGCAGAATTTTTTGTGGAGGGGGTCGGCCGGTTGATGAGTCCACCGGCATGTGCTCAATGCATCCATTGCCACCGCACTTTCTACATCCGCATCCCATCCATCACCCTCATTGCCAAGTTCGCCTATTGCCCCCTCTACGTTCTCTTTAACCGCTTCTTATCTGTCTTCCCGCCACACTCTGCTGGGTTTGATGCACTTTTGGAGAACATGGGGTTGCCGCCGTTTCCCTCCGGCTCGCCTTCACGTACCAACCTTGCGGTTCTGTGCGGTGAGCTAGAGAAGGAGCGCATTTTCTTCCTGCTCCTCGTGGCCCACATGTGGCCGACTTCCATTCTGGATATGGAATAGTTTGAAGGCATAGAGGTGTTCTAGGGAGATGGGATTCGAGTGAACAAGATGGCTGTGACGGGGAGGAAGAGAGGGAAGGCTCGGCGAGGGACGGGAAAAGGAGGGGAGGAGGAGGAGGAGGAGGAGGAGGAGGAGGAGGAGGAGGAGGAGGAGAATGATGGAGAGGTGTGGGAGGAATTGGATACGTGGTGCTTCGCAGTAATAAATGCGTGACCATCAAGCATGCGCGCCTCGTTGAGAAATGCCGATGTTGAATCGGCGGGTTCAGGACTGAGCGATGTGTGCATGGGCAGTGAGGAGCAACAGAAGAGGGCGGACGTGAACGCGAGGACTGCTGATATGGTCAACACAGGTGCGGCGAAGATCCGCAGAAAGAGGGTGCAACACGGCGGTGCTGTGGAGAGCAGTAGCACCGGCAGCACCAGACGTGATGTAGTCATGGAGAGTGGCACTACTGGTGCTGGCAGCGTCAGTGGCGGTAGCAGTGGCAGAGGAGGCGATGGTGCTGGCACCAGTAGAGATGGTGACGATGCTGATGGTGGCAAATGCAAAGAGGGAAAGGGCAAGAAGGGGGAGCTGCCGGCTTATCTGAAGGCATGGCCGGGGGGGGGGTCAAGTTGGTGGCATGTCTGAGAGAGTTGCTGCTGGGGGAGCCGTGCTACCACCCTGCCTCTCATGCTTCCCCTTCCGTCCCTCCTCCTGTTGTGAACACCTCTGGTGCAGTTGCTGCTGCCTCGTTCCACCCACCTGTGCGAAACCTTGCTACCACATGACATGTCACCCCAACTACTGGTGCTGCAACAGGCACTACAGGAACAGCTGTACCCATTGCAGATGCAGAGGCCAATTTTCTTGATGCTTACAAGGAGAGTAGGTGCGGTGATGTGGGGTGTGGTAGGGTGGAGGGTGGTAATGTGAAGCTGAGGAGTTGCGGTGGGTGTGGCAAGGTGCCATATTGCAGCAAAGAGTGCGAAAAGGCGCACTGGCCCTCCCACAAGCACACATGCCCCGGCAGGACCAGTAGCCGGGGTGGTGGCAGCAGCAGCACTGGCAAGGTGGGTGGCAAGGCGAGCAGTGGGGGTGTTGGGTAAGTATGCCATTGACTTAATGCATCACAGACAAGGCTTGCGAATGCTGCTACAACTAATGAGGGTGTGCAAAGTTTTCTTTGCATGTTGTCGCGATGTTTGCTGCTCTGCTTGTTGCAAGTCGTCCATATTGTGCAGCACTGCTGAGCATTCTCAGAGGTGCCTATAATAGGAGTGTGCATGAAGTTCCCTTGCAGATGGCTGGGTTGGGCCCTTTGCTGCTGTGTGCCGCCGTGCTTGCAGTTGTGCTTGCTGCCAGATATGAACCTTGTGTTGCAGCAGCTGCACTGCTTGAGAAGCAAATGTAGACTCTGCTGTGTTTCATGTGTTGGAAATGACTGGCGTTCCTCTCCTTGCACTCTCTTTCCCCGGCTTTTCCCCACTACCTTTCCAAGTGCTCGCTTGCACACGTCCCCTCCACCTGCTCTGCATTGGTCTAAGTTTAACTGACATGTTAAGCAGTGCTATGCAGAACTCTTCATCCGCGCCTCACAGACATTGTCCAGTTGGGAAATGGGCGCATAGGACTGAACCTCACAAGTTAAAGGTTTACCACCGTGCTGAGCCCGGGCGCTTATGAGCTGCTTTTGAGAACAGGGAGGGGTCTTCGGTTGAATAAAATAATAAAATCCGTGAATTAAATGTATGGCTGGAATCTGCGGGTTTTACAAAGGACATGCCGTAATAAAGAATACACTAGCATTTTCCAGGTAGTAACTGGGTCGGGGGGATTTAGGGTACATGGGGAAACGTAGGGAACGTGTTGATGTTACTGGTACTAGAGGACAGCCAATTGATTTGTACGCTAGTGCAAATTGCCCTCTGCCAAGTGGCGAGATCTCATCGAGCAACGGGAGCTCCTCGCTGTTGCGGAAGGCTTGAAGGCTCAGAAGAGGTAGAGCATACGGTAGTGCCTAGTAGAGGCAGGGTAAGGCCGGCAGGCAACACCACACCACAGCAGTGTTGTCAACGACCCACAGTCTACGTTGCACACATGTGGAGCAAGATCTGAAAGGGATGGTGGAGGAACAGAAGTGGGAGAGAGTTGGAGAGAGGCAGTCAGCCATGAAGGACCCCACCGCCTTGACTGCACTGCACTCATGTGGACCAGGGGCCTGGTAGGGTGGGGGAGTGGAAAGAAAGGTGGAAGTGAGTGAGAAGGGAGTGAGCAGGGGGTGGGGGGAGGAAGGAGGCAAGAGAGAGAGAGACATGAAGGACCCCACTGCCTTGGCACCACTGCACTAGCGTCTGTATGATGATGGCTGCCACACACGTGATGATGGCTGCCACACACGTGATGATGGCTGCCACACACGTGATGATGGCTGCCACACACGTGATGAGGGGAACAGGTGGGGAGGCTGATGACCCACCTGTGTGGCAGCCATCGTGTGCCACCTCAGTGTGTGCTGCGCGTTGACTATTACGGATTTACTTCCGCCACATGTGCAGGAGGAAGTGCCGGAGCATCGGGATCCCCACCCATTTCTGGAAGTTGACATTCCCCATCTGCCTCAAGAACCAGCTTCTTCCTCTTGTGGTCCAACTACTCCCCATTGCCCGACTGCTTCGCTGGGGTTGGCTCAGCTGGGTGAGACCGTTCTTGTTACTCTCGAGCCTCCAGGATCAGCTTATTCTGCAGTCGTTGACTTCCCGCTGTGTTCCATCGTTGCAGGTCCGGTGTCTCCGGGAGTGGAGGTTGAGGCAGTTGGGATGGTACGCAGGCGAAAAAGTCTGTCTGATGCCGGACGTTTGAGGTCCATCTCATCAGTGTGTGACCAGGTCGGCGCCTCCGTGGGTGTTGTCCTTAGCAGAAGAGTCCGGTCGGAGTCGTCCATCGTGCCCTGCACTGTAAAGTTTAGAATGAAGACTCCGTCACTGTTGATTGCCTTCCCGATGTAAATATTGTTGTAAAACACTCGAAGCGTTTCTCTGTGCAGTTGCTTCGAATGTCAACCTCGCGCCTCATGAGTTGAGCTGAAGAGAGGAGGTTGTACTCAGATTGGGAACGACCAGGACGTTTTCGATGTGAATGGTCAAGCAAGTGTCTACAGCTTCAAGGTAAATTTCTCTGATGTCGTATGCCTTGAGTCGATTATTGTTTGCGACTCTTATTCCGCACTGTTGCCGCATACGTCTTGCTGATAAAAGTTGGTGATCCCACCATGTGTTGTCCGCATAATCACGTTTTTGTGATGCTGACGTGCGATGGCGGCAATCTTTGGAGTGATGATGCGTTTGAGATCGACGTAGAAGCGCGAGAGGTTGTACTGGGTTCTGACAGGAAAGCTGGGAGGAGAATCCGGTGTGCTCGGTAGAAGCTCCAAGTCAAGTAGGAGAGTTGTTGGCGTGTCGATCCAGAAGCTGATCGTGGGATCGTTGTTCAGGCTTGGTGTGATGGGAGTGATGGGTACAATTGTTGCGTATTCAATGTTGTCGTAGTATCGGATGCCTCTGCGATGATGCACCATGCAGCTCAAAACTGATCCCTTGCCCTTATCCTTGGACAAAATGCGTGCAGGGGCTTGTGAGGTGCTCGCGACGGAAGGTGGCGACATGGTCGCTTTCGGAACTGGAGTTGCAGGGGCCGCCGAGGGCTGCTGACTAGATGAGTTGTTGTTGCGCCTCTCGCCAACGGCCTTTCGTTTGTAACACCGGTCTATGGTGTGACCGGGCTACTTGCAGTATTTGCAAAAGGTTCCCTTCTTTCCATGCTGCTCCATTTCAATCGCTCTAGTCAAAAACACTAACTTCTTCCCCTTGCTGTTCTTTTCATTGTACAGATCAATCTTCTTCTGCTCGGAGAGGAGTGTGGCGCAAAGGGCGGACTCGAAAATAGTGGCTCGAGCGTGGAGCAACAACTCGCAATGACGCCAATCGGGTCCAAGGCCGGAGAGAACCATCGAGACGAACATGTTGTCAGGGACGGGTCCGCCGCACTTCTTAGGACGCGGTAAAAATAGACGATTGATCGTCAGTTGCGATCGATGTGCGGATTGATTACCCTATTTACTACGATGTAACCACGATATAGTACGCTTTTTGGCCAAATGTTTTGTACAGTGTGTGCATCAAACTGATCACTGATCATGGGAGATCTGCCAAATCTCAGTAGCGATCGTTATAACATCACGATCGCCACGTTTCGCCAATCGATCTGCCCAATCGATTGCGGGGCTCGATATGTGCAGAGGGGCGTGCGATATTAGCACTTTTTCCGCGTCCTTAATGTGGTCACATAGATTGCGGCACCGATTGTTATACGGCCCGGCTTTCTCCCCTTGTTGCATTTTCACTGATGTCAGTTGACTGAGTAGACGACTCATGGTAACCGGATCCGTTGCCATGTATGAATTGCGCAAGTGTTCCCAAGACATTTGCGCAAGAGCGCACTCTGTTAGAACATTATAGCTTATGCTTTTGTGTAGGCTATAGTGGGGTATCCCATAGGGGGTACAACCCAATTAGGGTTGGTACTTGTACTCACTCATTTCATAGTTCATTCATTTGTGTTCCTTCGTTTCACATGGAATCAGAGCAGGTTCCCTCCCAGGGACTGCTTCTAGGGCCCACCGAAGCGCGCCCCGAGGCGCGCCCTACTTTTTTTTAGCGACCCTCCGTGTCGCCTCTAGCGGCCCGTCGCGCCGCCCTTACCTACGCGGCCCCGCTGCCCTTACATTGCGGCCCCGCCGCCCTGCACTTAGCGGCCCCGCCGCCCTTCCTTCGCGGCCCCGCCACCCTGCACATCGCGGCCCCGCCGCCCTCCCTTCGCGGCCCCGCCGCCCTGCACGTCGCGGCCGTGCCTCTTTTCACTTCACGGCCCTCGCCGCCCTTCCGTCGCGGCCCCGCCGCCCTTCACTGCACAGCCCCGCCGCCCTTCACTCGCGGCCCCGCCGCCCTGCACTACGCGGC